TCAATTGTCTTTTCAAGGGGATGTTGATACCTGCTAAATATATTATCGTGGGCAAAAACACGTATCACACGATGCTGTCTGTCTGAGGCAAATGTCGCCCATACTTTACCAGGGATACGCTGACTGAATACGTAATTGCCGTTTGTTTCATGGCGCTCAAGACTGTATATGATGAATTGATTATACCGGATCCCTAGGGAAAACCTTTATGGGCAAATTTAATGAATCGCTTCATGGAGTGTTCACGTCGGAATGCTGGGTATATTATGCACGACTGCACATCATCTGCGCCCCCAAACGACAAATCGTGTCTGTGACGTAAATTGGCGCGTGAAAAACTGTTCACAATGTCGAATTTGTTTGATATAATGTCGTTCGTCAATAGAAATTGTTTTAGGGCGATTCACTGTTTTCTAAATGAGGAACGACTACACAGATATACACGATCGCTTCGAACGGCACTGCTTTCACCCAGGCATTTTGACGTCACATACGCGCATTCGTCAATAGAGGGCGTCAATGAAAGATGCATTAGATAAATTACATGTCATCTGAACTGGAATACAGGATGTAGATCTACACCTAGAGAGGAAAAATATGTGATAAGTTGAAATATAAATAGTTAAATTAGGGTTGTCTACTTCTTATTGATTTGGAAAAAAACACGTATAATTTACACCATGGATCAATAAAATGGCGTATTTCTATTTGTAATCTATATGTCGTTGAGTATCGTATATCGCCTATTATGCATAATGCAGTACAGTCTTAGGAGATAAAATCGACTGAAAAACGGGTTATGCTGTGGCCAATACACTATTCTGAAATATTGCTGAACTGTTCCCTATGACTGGCTATTTGAAAGTCTGAAGAAAAAAACGTAGGGTACCAGCATAATGCTTTGAAATGTGAACCTTAGTTTTATGTATTGTGACCATTTTCTAAAAATTTAAATGGCTGCAATGTTTCCATAGAAATAAGTTCGGATGCAGTTTTTCGGTCAATGTATGACCCCCTTATATTTTGCCACGATGATATCCCACGTTTAATGTAAACCATAGTTACGCTCAGTGATATTTTACTTGACAAATGTATAATAATAATTAAGTGCCATTACTTAAACAAGCCTTGAACATGCTGATCAAAATGGAATGTGAACACATTGAATAAATATTGTAATCGCCTCCATTAAGATCAATATGACGTCACAAATGACAATGAAAAGAATATTTACAAAACCACAATAAGTGCAAAACACGTAAAAAGGAGCTTGAAAAAACCATACAGCATAAATCGGCACTAATTGGGATATAGTGCACACACATCAGACAAATTAGAGGTATAAAACCGATAGTTCTCTACTGAAAAGATATATAAATTGAGAACGTGTGTTATTTTATGCTAAATTATAGTATAGTCTAATCCCGGGAAGCATTTTTGTCAAGCATTTGAAATCAAGACTTTAAAGAAAACTAAATCAGAAAATTGTTTATAACCATTCTTACAAACGATGACAAATTAACGGATATTGGTATATATAATAATATGTATAATAACAAAAACTTGACATAGCTTACCAGGTGTCCAAGTTCAATTTTTGTTTTTAATTATTGTTTGTTTGGTTTTTCCAAAATTTTCTTTATTTTATGTTATATTTTTACTTACCCTCTCGTTATTTTGAAATAAAGGTCATCTGTTTATTTGCATATGTGAAATACACTACACCCGTAAATGGCATGGATGTTGATTTCTTATGTAAAGCTCGGATGGGTAACTACCAAGTACGAAATTAATACATTCAAATAGATTTAACCAAATCGGTGACATGCTGAATTTGGGATTAGGTTAAGCCACAAAGGAATTTTGTTTACATCAAAAATGAAAAGTAAACATCATCTGAACTGGCTATCGTGTACGTTAAAAATAGCGCATTCTGAAAATTACATGGTATCGGTGCAGTAAACAATATGATCTCCGGTTGCTTTGCTGTACAGTAACAGAATAACAAATTACCTAGTGATAAATACGAAATTGTAATAATATTATATATATGTTTTAAGTGTTGTTGTCATGTTAATAATATGGTGTAAACAACGTGTAAATTTTACGTTGTAAATTAGTTTTATGTGCCCAATATGAGGTCAACACTCGATTACGTGAAGCAGACGGTTGGTGCATTGAAATACACCAACCATTACAAAATGGCGCCTTTTCTTTTATGTAAATGTGTGAAAACTCGCGCACTAATACCCTTACGTCATGAGAACGGACAGGAATTATTTATGGATTTCCGAAAAGCTCTATATCGCGAAACGATTGAGACTGACTGCATGGCACCATGTGTGAATAGGCGTTGATGATAAAATGCAGCAGTGAATGTCGTCGGAAATAATGCTTAAATTAGTCCAAATGAGAATTGCATTACACGAGATTTAAAATAACTGACACGTCTCGTGAGGGAAATTCACATCCTATTATCGCGATGCGATAAGATCCGATTCACGTTTTCTTCTTTTACGTGTAGTACATTCATCGTCGATACATGACTATATTTTGCTCATTTTCAGATAACTTCCGCCAGGATGAGGTGGTTTAGCACGCTTTTCGTCGCCATCTGTGGTTGCCTGGCAACGGTTAGTTCACAGGATACCTGTGAACGTCCCAGCGTAGGTCGTCTTGCTGGGGAGATCATACTCGGCTTGAATTTTCCATTTCATTCGGAGTCAGAGGATGGCTCGGGGTGCAGTTCGGATATCTTCGACTTGGAAACTATACAGCTTCTCGAAGCAGCCAACTTTGCAGCTGAACAACTCAGCAACGCTATCGTCGGTGTCACAATAGGTAAGTACGGCACGGCCTTGAAACAAGTGTCGTTTTAATCGATTGTATTTGACGAGCGGGTTTACTTGGAAATTGCTGATTCGAATATATATTTTTATTAACATTATTAACTTATTAACATTTTACGATTACTTATCCGATGATGGGGATTTCACAACAGGTATCGAAGCAAGGGATACATGCTATTCGCCAACGGTTTCCTGGCAACGAACCTTCGATTATGTCAGTGAGATGGTTGATATGTTGGACGTTGAAGGAAACATGTGCCCAGCAACAACTCTGAGACCAGGTAAGAGACGATTGCATATTCATACAGTGCGCCCTCTGTGGCAGTTTTATCTAAAATATTTCGGAATTTGTTTTAGTCATACTCATGCGCGATGTCAAGTTTCAGCCCCTGAGTCGAGTCTTTTGTTGAGATGAACAGTCTCTCTCATATATTCTACATATGATTGGTAATTTGGTTT